AACATCTTGATGATCCCCAAGACTTTTGGGAAAATACTCTGTGGACTGACGAGACAAAAGTTGAACTTTTTGGAAGGTGTGTGTCCCATTACGTCTGGCGTAAAAGTAACACTGCATTTCAGAAAAAGAACATCATACCAACAGTAAAATATGGTGGTGGTAGTGTGATGGTCTGGGGCTGTTTTGCTGCTTCAGGACCTGGAAGACTTGCTGTGATAAATGGAACCATGAATTCTGCTGTTTACCAAAAAATCCTGAAGGAGAATGTCCGGCCATCTGTTCGTGACCTCAAGCTGAAGCGAACTTGGGTTCTGCAGCAGGACAATGATCCAAAACAGTGGCCCATAACATGATTAGCAAAGTAACTAGCATGTACGCTAGCATGTTTCTAACATGATTAGCATTTTGCTAGCATGATTAGCATGTAGCTAGGATAGATAGATAGATAGATAGATACCAAGTCGGTACTAAAATAAAAATGAAAAAATTACGGTACCAGGTTTTTTTTAAGTACCAGTGGTACAGAGTAACCGGTCAACCCGGTTCTTGATGCGCTATCCGAAAGGTGCGCAGATGTGCTCTCTTCATAAAAGCACTGAGACAGGGCGACCTCAAAAGGAGGAAAACACATCAAACTAACAAAACACTTTAAAGACAGAGACCCAGATCAAATAAAAGAGTTCAAGCAGTTAAGTTTCATTTTAATATGTATTGTTTCCCATACATTTATTTATTTGTGGTGGCCCGCCACAAATAGATTTTCCATAGATTTTCCGACTGTCTTCAGAAAATGATGGATGTCATTTTCATTCCATCTTGCCTGTAATGCCTGAGCAGTTTGTGAGCGCAACGCTTATTTGATTACAGCCGTTTCCAGGGAAACCTCTATCTCTCCCGCTCTACAAGCGCCTCCTGCTGGCAGAGAATGAGTTTGCATATATATGCCACCACAAATAGAGTGCAAGTCTGTGGGAAACACTGCTTCTGTTATGAATATTATTCAATATTTTTATTTGAATGTCGGATTGAAAAGAACATTGCTGTTATTAGAGTAGTTAAGCACGGCTAACGCTAATATAATGAGCATTAAGAATGAAGTTTCTTTATTAACCATTTAATGCTCCTATAACTTTTATTAGGGTAAAAAAAAAAACAGGAGGTCATGATGACATTTGCTATTTTTACACACCAGAGGCTTTTAAATGAATTGTGAATCTAAAATATGCATGTTAGAGAATGTACAAATGGTTAACATTGTTTGTGTCATATCTATATGGGTTTTTTGGGGCCGATACCGATATTAGGGAGTAAAAAAGGCTGATATCGATCTATCGGCCGATATTCTTTTTGTATATTATAGTACAGTACCTGTCAAAAGTTTGGACACTTTCCCATTCATGTGTCCAAACTTTTGACTGGTACTATATATAGAATACAGTATATACATAAACAGAATATATATACATAAACACATTTTTTGCAATGATCACTCAAATGTGGCGATCAAACACTTATAATGATGTGACAAAGATACGTAATGGAGGCAGGGCATTTAACAATTTAACAATAAACTTTATTATCCAAAATGAGTCTGACATCAGTGCACTGAACAGTAACGTTGAAGTTTATTCAACTTTAATTCAGTTCAATCCCATTCAACCCCATTCAACCAGGGCCGGAGTGGGAGTCATTTATTTATTTATTTATTTATTTATTTTTTTTGTGGTTTATATTTATGCATGTGTATTTTATTCACATCTCACTTTTATTATCTGTGTGTTGTTGTTGTCTCAGTGTACTGGAAGCTTGTGACACTATAACAAATTCCTTGTATGTGCAAACATACTTGGCAATAAAGCTCTTTCTGATTCTGATTCTGATTCTGATTTCTGCCCTGGAGTTTCATGCCTTATAGCGGCCCACTTTAGTTCACGACTGACTATAGCTATTACAATAATGTAATTAAAACTTCAGTAGGATATAAGTCTGCAATAGCGCACTGTTCTCTACAGACTTGTAATTCATTATATTTTTCTACAGCTTTGTTTTTTTTTAAATCATTATTTTACTGGCCTTTTCAGCGCCGCCTTTGCGCTTTCTATTATACATTTTTTAATCTATTATTTTTTGCTCGCATATCTCCAACAAAATATGTGTAGGCCTACTGTCCCATAATGTCTGCCTGCATTTAAAAGGTTCTCAGAAATAATCGCATTTGTTTTGCTTAACCTATATTCTAAAAATAATTTTAATGTCATACAAAAAAAAGAATTTCTACTACAATAAAATTAGGTCCAAGTTTAAAAATGCACTAGAAGTTAAATTTTCTTCTCTATTTAACAGCCTTATCTTACAATAGTGAAAGACGTCTCCCCTCAGGTAGATTAAATGTTTTCCTGCCTTGCTAAATTTTGGGCTCATGATCAATAAATTGCATTCGCCCAAACTGATCTGCCAAAATCAAATCGCGGACGTAAGCGCAAGTCCTGCTCGCTGTGAAACAGGAGCAGCCGGCAGAGGATTCCGCTTAGTCTTAAAGCCTTCATCAAATGGCTATATTCACAAATAAAACAATATTTTGCGCATAAATGATTAATTATCAATTGAGAATTTGTTATTCATATGGTCTGGTGGTCATATGGCGTATGCCTGCGAATACGGGACAAACTGTGTTATAGCTTTCATATGGGACGCTTCTTTGATGCCTTAAATACGGGCATCCATATTTCAACCCCATAGCAGTGGCATGACAGTACCGGCCCTCGCGGCCAAAAAAAACAGACCGGCCCACTGGGAATTTTCCCAGTGCTCCCGATTAGCCAATCCGGGCCTGCATTCAACTTTATTCCTCTGAAGTGTATTTCACTTCGGAACATTCATTCACGGATTTGCGCTACTGTCTTCACACACAGACAAAACTTAATAGAGAAGTGTGAAGTGTGACATAATACCTCTGTAAATATAGCCTATACAATATAAATTCACGTCTCGCGCACTTTAATTTGATTGTAACGTGTACGTTCCCTTGGAACTGGAATCATGGCGGAATTTCATGTGAAGTCCACTTCGCAGGGCACTTACGGTCGAATAAGACAACGCTTGAATGCTGCTGCCTTAACAAGAGACCTCCTTACTGAAGTGAAAAGTGTTGGCTGGTGTAACCATATCGCGAACGCGCCGGCGGATCTCCACCAAATTCGGGGGATCCCTTCAGCTCGAGGAGCCCTCTCGAACGCCACTCTCCGCACGTCGGTAGCCCCCCGAGATCGCTTGATCGGTCGGCGCCAGACCGTGAATTTAACCACCCGTAACTCCCGAACCCCGGGGGCTATCAACACGGCGGTGGTCTCATTCAAAAGCGGGCCTCTAGACGTACACTCGATTTGCGTTCGAGAGGGTTCCTCGAGCTGAAGGGATCCCCCGAATTTGGTGCGGATTCACCGCGCCGTTATGGAGATATGGCCGTTCAAAATTTCAATGGTTTTCCATAGACTTAAGCTTTAAAGCGTTTCATCCAGGTCGCCAGTAGCAAACAATGGAGCGCGCTCTGTTGGACAAACTAAGTAATTATACCATTTCAAGCATTTTATCTGCGTTATATGTTCTGTAAAAAAAAAATCATATCGCCGGCATATTTGCCGATACCAATATATCGGCGACAAGCTCATATCGGCCGATAATATCAGCAAAAAGATATATCGGTCGGGCTCTAGTCATATCAGTCAGAAAAGCAGTTCTGCGCTTTTTTTTATTTTTTAGCTAACTTAGTTGTTATTCTTGGCTGAATAACTCTAGAAGCTTTAAAAAGCCCTTTAATATTAAATATGTACACAGTTTGGATTAAATGAAAGTATAGTCATATTTTTTAATTAGCATGCTTTTGTGTTTTGCTTTGGTACCGAAATTGGTACAGAGAACCGTGGATTTTCACTGGTATTGGTACTGAATACTGAAATTTTGGTACCATGACAACACTAATTCCGTCAATGTAAGTCTATGTGATTTTTATCATTTTTAATCTTCAGTTTTATGAAAACTATAAGTCGGATCAGTCTGAAAAGATATAGCAACCCAAGTCAGATCAGTCTGAAGAGCTGGGCTAAATTTGGTGGTTCTAGCTTTCTCAAGCCAACCTAAATATTAACAGTTGTAAATTTGACCATTGTTCTTAGTTAAGCATAAATTGTTGTAATATGCTTATGACTCGCGAATGTAATGCGCAGTAAATTGAAATAAACCAGGCTTGATGAAGTATGCAGCCTGCAAATGCGACCTCCAGAGGATGCAGCCTTCCGTTTGAGAAACGGCCTTAGTCTAGTCCAGAATTGAATAGGCTGATTTCCTGGAGGAAGACTAGAATTACTTCAGGATTAAATTGAGGCGTAAATTAAACCTACCAGGAAGCAGGTTTAACCTCAAATTAACATTGCGTTTCCAGTCTTTATGCATCAAAATTATTGGCACCCTTGGTAGATATGAACAAATAAGCCTGTGAAAATATATCTGCATTGTTAACAAAGTAAATTTGATTCGAAACCATTCAGAACCATTCAGACAGAAATTGTATTTACTTTTATTTATTTTCTGAAAGATCAAAAAGTAAAAATACAGGTTTATTTTCACAACCTTCTTTGATCATATTTTCTTAGGGTGCCAATATAATCCTGACCATCTCTCCCTCTCTCTATCTCTAAAACAGCTGCTTTATGTATAACATCATAAATAATAGTTTGCATGTTGCAAAACTGACAACAACAGTGGAAGAATTTATGCAATAATTCATTACAAAGAGATTTCTAGTCATTCCTTTTTTTATTTGACAACTGATGTGCTCACTTACTTTGCTTGCTTTAAAAAAAAAGTTATCTTCTTCAATAACATTGTGTGTGGGTTTTTTTTATGCAGTATTTTTCCACTGCTATTGTTTTCTTTGGATTTGCTTCTCAGTTCCATTCAATTTTAAGCTTTTCTTTGTTCATGAATGAACAATAGACACCAACCTCCTTGATCCTGTTTTATTCTGCGGGGTTCTGGTTCCTCGTGTTTTATTCTCCAGGTTTCTGGCTCCTCGTGTTTTATTCTGCAGTTTTCTGGCTCCTCGTGTTTTATTCTCCGGGTTTCTGGTTCACTCTTGTCCTCCTCACTCTCCTCTTTGACAAACAGCATCTTCACAGCAGCAGATCTCAGTTCAGCTGTTACTCCTCCAGATATCCCTACTTGCTTCAAAACTTAGTCACGACTGTGAGGATGAGAATATTACATGCATTTACTGACCCGATTCAAAAACTGTACAGAAACAACATTTCTAACAAATCAAAACAAAACAGAGACCGCGCTGAAACTAATCTTCTTCCTCTGAGGGTTAATGGTGTTTGGCAAACAAACGCATGTGTTTTAGCGCTACCCGCTGGACTGGAGTGTGAAGCGAGAGGAGGGAAATCAATACGAGGAATAGTGTGTCTGTTAGGTGCGCTGTTTTTTTTTCTTCTTTAAAAAAGTCGATCTGCACAACTAAATTTAAACCCTACTTGCTTCAAAACTTAGTCACGACTGTGAGGATGAGAATATTACATGCATTTACTGACCCGATTCAAAAACTGTACAGAAACAACATTTCTAACAAATCAAAACAAAACAGAGACCGCGCTGAAACTAATCTTCTTCCTCTGAGGGTTAATGGTGTTTGGCAAACAAACGCATGTGTTTTAGCGCTACCCGCTGGACTGGAGTGTGAAGCGAGAGGAGGGAAATCAATACGAGGAATAGTGTGTCTGTTAGGTGCGCTGTTTTTTTTTCTTCTTTAAAAAAGTCGATCTGCACAACTAAATTTAAAAGGACTTAAAATTATAGACTCGTATTTGATAAGCATCAACAGTCTTCGTGTGTGAGGATTAGAGGAGAAAAACGAGCTAATTTATTAGTCAGATATTTCATTGAAAATCACACAAAGTTCACTTACGAAAATTAACCATGTTTTTTATTTTTGTAGTAACCATGGTTTAACCATGTTTTTTGTAGTAAAACCACAGTAACTACAAAATAAACCATGGTTTTTCTACAGTATTTACAGCAACTACAGATTTAGTTATTTCTTACTCTTAAGAAATAACTAAAAAGTCTAACCATTAGGCCATGACTTCCCCGTGGTTAGAGAGGTTAGAGAGTCGGACTCATAACCCAAAGGTTGTGGGTTCGAGTTTCGTACCGGCAGGGATTGTAGGTGGGGGGGAGTGTATGTACAGCACTCTCTTCCACCTTCAATACCACGACTGAGGTGCCCTTGAGCAAGGCACTGAACCCCCAACTGCTCCCCGGGCGCCGCAGCATAAATGGCTGCCCATTGCTCCGGGGGTGTGTTCACTGCTGTGTGTGTGTTCACTGCTGTGTGTGTGTTCACTGCTGTGTGTGTGTTCACTGCTGTGTGTGTGCACTTTGGATGGGTTAAATGCAGAGCACTAATTCCTAGTATGGGTCACCATACTTGGCCACATGTCACATCACTTTCTTTTAAAAAAATTAGGGCTTAATAAAATAATCATAATTATAAATTATAATTATAAAACTCAGCTTTGACATGTTTTACCTATGAATGTAAACATGCAATAGGCATCCTTTTTCAGATAAGACCAACTCCTATGAAAATGCAGCTGTAATGCTTGTTTTAAAATGAACAGTGAATGAACGACTAACAAGCGGTTTGCGTGACACAACGTGAAACCAGACCTCATTTGCCCCAATCGAAAGCTTATTCACACTGTTACTCCCCTCGAGTTGAATAAGGCTCAGGTCGTTTTTGGTTTTAACAGACATTTATTTGGATACGAGTTTCCAACATGTCTTGTACATGCTAGTCTTGTAGCCTTTTCATGCCCCAACAATGCCGTCAGAACTACGAAAGGAAATACATAAAACTTAAATTAACCCTCTAAAAGTGGTGTTTTACACATAATAATAAACGAAAAATACATACAAAACGAATAAATAAAGTGCACACTCAACACGTAAGAAAATACACTTAATTGGCTAATTATATTAACAAACGGTCATGTAACTTACACATGTTCACATACGGCACAGCAATTAACACGATAAAACACATACCTCATTGGCCTCTCTAACTCAAGAGGAATAAACTTGGAGGGTTACAGTTTCTTCTTCTGCGTCCGAAATCGCATACTTCCATACTATATAGTAGGCGAAAAACAGTATGCGAGGCGAGTAGTATGTCCGAATTCATAGTATTCGAAAAACAGTAGGCGAGAAGTACCCGGATGACCTACTACTTCCACCCGAATTCCATAGCATGCATACGATGGACACTTTAATATCCCATGAGGCCATGGGAGAGGAGGCGCCATATGCGAGAATGGCGGGAGGCGGCGACGTGGCTCTTTTCAAGTGTAAGTACCTCAGGGGAAAACGTTGTTCATTGTGGTTAAATTGTACTTGTTTAACATGATCTAAGTGAACGGCTGACTTATTGAAAGTTTAAACATTGTAAATCGATGAGATGATTTCATGAATCGACTGTAAAAAGATGTTTAATCATTTATTACTGAGCACATCAAGTTAACGAACAGATCGAGCTGGTGTCAATGCTGTTGTACATCAGCTTGTTAACTGCTTTTTTTAACGGAAGCAGTTTAATGAGATTAGAAAATTCCACGGACTTTAAAAAAAAATTTCCCCCTCTTTTACTAATATTTAGTTTATATTTTGTTAGCTACATACTAAGCTACTGTTAATAAATATGCCACAGCTTGGCAATGTAGCATTAATGGCTTGATAATGACTAATGGTTTCTGCTTTGACATTACAGGGACTGATGAACACACTCTAATGGCTGATGAAGCCCTTCACTGGGAAGCGTAATGCTGCCATCAAAGGTTGAGAGTAAGTAAACAAGTAATGTAAAATGTGCTTTTATTCAGGTGCTGTTGACACTGAACGTAGTAAATACTAACACTTCAAGCAAAGGTCTTACTGCCTTCTTTTTATGCATTTATTGTGACAGAGCAGGGACTTGAGGGCAACATTTATGCCGCTCAAGTCAAAAGAAAGTGGGAGAACCTAAAACAAATATATAAAGTAAGATATATTTTTTAATTAGTTAACCCCAAAATTTTTATTAGTTAATGATTTGATCATGCTAATGTTTTTCCATGTCATAGTAATGCAGTAATCTAATGAATGTAATTGACTGTCTCCGGGATGTCCAACAAAAGGGCCTTTCGTACCGCAGGAACCTTTTCATAGTACCAGAACTAATTGTGGAACTACCCACTTTTTGGCATGTTCGCACCGCCGGAACTGGGAGCGATTTTAGTACCAGACTGTCTTTTTCGAGAACCAAATTAGCTCCTACTCCGGAGCAGGGTCTAACCAGCACAACTGGTACTAATTGTGACGCAAGTAGACATTGATTGGCCAAACGCGTATGAAAACACCCTCACCCGCCATGATTTAAAACGCCGTGTAAACATACTGTAAACATTGTCAACTTATTTTGCAAGTATGGAGAACAGCGATAGATAGATAGACAGATGCTGAAGTGCAGGCACTTGTAGCAAATGTAGAACTGCCAGTTGTCGTTGGAGATTCTTAGTCCTCCTTTCAATCGCTTTACGTATACGTCGACTTTCCATGTCCATTATTGTGAAACCCGCGAAACACAACAAAAACACAGCTCCGATCACAGCGTCCTCCATCCTCCTGTTGTTAATGTTGTTCTTCTTTGTTTCTGTTGTTGAATGCCGCGCACAAATGACGTCGCTGTCGACTGGCTTACGTCACTTCTTAGTACACACTCTCGGAGCGAATGCAACCCTTTAAATGGTACTGGAAAATAGTTCGTGCAAAATCGTCCCAGTACTTTAGTACCGTACATTTAGGTCGACTGTGTGCTATCTCAGGTGACAATTTAGGGTCTCACAGTATCGGCGGTTTTGTTGAGAACTTCAGTAAGAGCCATTACTTCTGCAGATACTGTGATGTAGAAAGAGCTACTTTTCAGAACTCTCCACTATTGTGTGGCAACACACGAACAGAACAGTCCTATCAGAATCATCTGCATAAATTAGGCACCAGTGGCAGAAATTCTGAGTGCAGCATTAAATCAGACTCTCCTTTTAACCAACTATCCTTCTTTCATGTTTGCCAGCCTGGGTTGCCCCCATGTCTTGGGCATGACTTGTTTGAAGGCATTGTTTCGAGTGACCTTGCTTTGTTTATTGGTTATTTAGTTAAGGATAAACATTTTAGTTATCTACATCTCAACAGGTGCATAGATCAGTTCAAGTATCAGGGGAATGATGCCCACGACAAACCAGCTGATGTTTCACCAGGTAGCAATAAACTTATGCAGCCCAGAACTGGTGTTTCCTTCGTTTGCTACCCCTCCTGGTTGGAGATAGGATTAAGAATCCATGTGACAATGCTGTTTGGCAACTTGTGCTGCAGCTTAAAGAAATTGTAGAACTCATTTGTGCACCAGCAATCACAACAGATCAGATCGCTGATCTTAAAATACTTATTGAGGACTACATATACTTTTGAAGACAGCTCTTTCCTGATCAAGCCCTGAAGCTCAAGCACCACTATCTGCTTCATTATCCACAGCTCATTACCGAGTTTGGCCCCCTAATTCACCTTTGGACTCTCAGGTTTGAGAGTAAGCACTCTTTCTTCAAGAGATGTGCTAGAAAATTGCACAATTTTTAAAAACATCTGCAGTACAGTTGTCAAGCGACACCAGCTCTTCCAAGCCTATTTGTGTGCAGGCGAAATGTTCCAGCCAAGTGTGTTATTTGATAAGGGCACAGCATTTTACGTAAATGACTACAGTGACAAAATCAGAGAGACCAATGTGGTTGGTTTGAATTTGGAATTTATAGATACAGTAGCATATCATGCTGTGACAGTGAAGGGCACTTCATACAAAAATGGCATGTACATCTTATTGGGGAAAACTGAAGAAGAATTGGAGGTTGGCAAGATAGAGCTGGCCATCGTTCACCATGGCTCTGTGTCCTTCATCTCAGAAAAATAGTTGTTTGTGAAGTTGAGCGACATTGGGGTCTATTGCATATTAGGGACAGCCCAAGAGCAGTTTGTTTGTGTGAGGCATGAGGATCTGCTTGATTATTATCCTTTGCCAGCCTATGAGATGTGTGATATGCCAATAATCTCTCTCCATCACTCGTTTGCAGAAACATACTAATACAATGACTGCTCCATTATTGTATTATTGTAGCCCTTTATTGTCACTGGTCACAGGTACCAGCGAAATTAGCCATCCACCTGTCCATACATACAATATGACAAGGGGGTAGACAGGACAGGAGGACAGGGAATACGCATCAGAGGAGATCAGCAAGGCTTTCCTGGCTGCTCTTCCATGGCTCCCCCCAGATACCTTGGCATCCTTGATGACAGGCCTGGAGTGCCTTGGTGTGCAGATTAGGGAGGACATACCTACGTCCAATCCAGTGCAGAAGGATCATTTGTGCCTTTACACCAAAAGGTAATGGTTCTTTTAATATCTCCCAGTAGAGGGAGATTCAGTTACACATTAAGAACAAAAGGTGGTAAAACAAAAGACAAGTGGTCACTGCTTAAAGTAAGTTATGTTACCAATTCAATTATATTTTGTGGGAGAGGGACATGTCTATTGACATGAGAGTGAAGTCCAGCCAATCTTTGAGGATATTCTCTCCATTCTATGTAAATAATTGCATTTAATTTTTATATTCCATCTTTAGGGTTGTCTTTTAAATACTTTTCATTTGTTTTGCGAGCTTTTTCTAGCTAGAAATAGCATAATGTAGCTACCATTCAAGTATATAATTCATACTCAGAAAGTAGAACTGAAATGGCATTTATTACAAGATGATTAGTTAAAACAAATTGCACCTGCAGACTGTTTTTCCAGTCATGTATTTAGTCATTGAGAATTTGTAGAAAATAATGTGAAAATGTCTTGCCTCGTCTAGTTCTCATGAACCCAATCTCGTGTCTCCTCTCATTTCTTGAGTTAAGTGTCAGCGTTAATGATAATCAAACAACAAAAGACGAGGAGAAAATCACTCCCTGCTCTTGACAGAATAGCATTTGTAGCTTTCATAAGAATTTACATAGTGAAAATTGTGCCCTACCATCACATTCACATCAACGCAACAAATAAATAAATTACTAATAGAGCACTGAATTGTTTATAAAAACACATATTTCTTCATTGATCTTGTCACTTGATTCTGCTCTCAAAATGCACCAGATTTATGCATTTAAATTTAAAATGAACAACATTTTCTTACGGGGGACCCTGGAACCGCCTAGAGCAGGGGTGCCCAAACTCGGTCCTGGAGGGCCGGTGTCCTACCGAGTTTAGCTCCAACTTGCCTCAACACACCTGGTGGGAAGTTTTTAGTATGCCTAGTAAGAGCTTGATTAGCTGGTTCAGGTGTATCTAATTGGGGTTGGAGCTAAACTCTGCAGGACACCGGCCCTCCAGGACCGAGTTTGGGCACCCCTGGCCTAGAGGAACCAATGTGCATGACAGTCTCACAAAATCCTGTGGGGACACTGGGAATGTAGAGAAAACACTGTAGGATTGGCTGTTTCAATGTGTGTGTGTGTGTGTATGCCAGTTCACCTTACTACTAAATACATTTCTCCAGTAAAGCAATGATTAAAGGGGGGCCTCACACATAGAGCAGCCTAGGGGCCCCTGACCACCTTAATCAGGTGTTTGTACTATCTTTTCTTAGTGATTTAATTTAATTCACAATGTCCTAAGATTATTTTGCTAAACTTTTATCCTTATAATTAAAAATCTGATAATGAAGCACTATTAGATTGCATTGAAGGAAAGTTACTGTATTGGCTAGATAAATATCCTGATGCCTTAGCAGTTATGGGAGGTGACTTTAAGGGGCCATTCACACAGAACGCATTTTTTCCATTCCAATGCGGTACTTTTCCATTGTTTTTCTATATAAACACGCGCTTGACGGGCGTGCATGACCGTTACGCTTGTGTCTTTTGCAGCGCCTCACACATGAGCGCCGCGTTTTTCAAAACGCTGTGTCAAGAAAGAATTTCAACTTTTACACGCAACGCCGCTCATCAATGTCAGTTCCAAAGCAGTGGACCAATCAGAAGA